AAAGAAAATGAAGTTGTGCTCAAATATTGTTTGGTTAACAGTTGATTTCTCTTAACAGTTTTGATCGAAAAGCCAATTTTTGAAACACTGCAAAATGAAGCGTTTCGGATTAGCTTATTAGTATTTTATGGATAAATGGAATTGTGTGCTAGGTGCTAACTATACAAGTATTACTTGAGTTATTTATTTTTTAATATTAACATAGACCCGTCAGCAATACACAGTGTGTATTTGTCTTGCGGAGAGATTTCAATTGCCTCGAATTTAATTTGTCCATTCAATAAGTTGTAATTTTGTTTTTGTTTTATAGTTCAAATTGTAAGAATTGAAACTCAGTTAAATTCATAAATTTCCTGTTGTATTTTACAATATTTTATAACAGAATATGCAAAAAGGGGGAAAAGATTGTAATCGTTTCCCTCACGAACTATATTTTTGAGTTTCGTATTGCACACAGCACAATTGATTCGCGAGACACAAAAGTTGTTAGCTACTTCATGTTAAAACTAGTGCGTGGCCCGTGCGATGCACGGGGAAACAATATTACGATTGTATTATAAATTAAATATATATATAGCATTAATCATGATTTACCCATTGTTTTTAAATTAAATCGGGTTGGACACAGTCCGGGCGGATGGACCGAGAACCGATTTATAACCAGTCTAGTTGCTTGAATAAAATATTAGCTATCGAATCTGTCAACACCAGTCGGTTTGACTGGTAGGATTGATATCGATTTTCTAAATAAATTTGGTTACATTTAAAATTATATAAAATTACATATTTAAATAAAATGGAGATTTATAAACTCTTTATCAATAGTTTAAACATTTGAATTTTTAAATTGTTTAGATATTTAAGTATCACATGTTCTTTAAATTTATTACAAAAAGTATTATATATATAAAAATGTTTATAAATTAAAATCTGAACAGACCACAAATAATTTAATAAAATAACTTGATCTTTTCGATGAGTTATAAATATTAAAATGTTTATAAATTAAAATTTGAACAGAGCACAAATAATTTAATAAAATAACTTGATCGTTTCGATGACGGTCCGGTTCTGAAAACCTTATATTTCTTCTACATTAATAAAAATTATAATAAAATATTATTTTATTCACAAAATAATTAATAAAATGATATATAAATATTTATAAATTATTAAACATGTTATCATAAAAATATTGTTAATATGATTATTTAAAGTTTGGACTACATCACATTCAAGTAATAAAATATTTTTAATATTAAAATTTATATTTAGGTTCAATAATCGAATTGGTCTGATCAAACAGATAGATAACTTAGTCACTTTAAGACCAATCAAGTTGTGTCAATTTTTTTTTTGACTATTTTAAATATCACCTAAAAGTAAAACAATCAACTTGGACAATACCCTAATTTAATCATCTGATTGATCCAAAGAAATTTCCTTTTTTTTTATATATTTAATTTTATGAAATAAAAATATTTTATGATTCATATAATAAATGTCTACACCAAATGATAGTACATTAAGATTATAAATTATATATTTAAAGATGAATTAATTATTTTTATTTTATGAATATTAATAAAAAGTACCTCTCCTTTTAGTCGAGCATCTGTTATGACCTCTCGCGTTGAGCTCGACTTTAAGGAGAGGAAAGACCCGAAGTTAATTAGTTTTACTTTATGCATATTAATAAAAAAAAAAAATAAACATAGTAATTTTCAAAAAATTAAGATCAATTGATTGATTATGCAATTTAAAGAATATGTGTATTTTCAAGGAATAAATTTCTTAATATAAGGGATTTTGTTTCTTTAAACTATCCAAATTCATATTCATATCGCAATTTGAAATTTTGAATTACAATAGAACATGACACTATGAATACAAAGTATCTTTTAACAAATAAATCAGATTCAATTTAAGATTTATTAGTTTTAAAAATAATAAAATCATTAATTTAGGCAGTGATATGTGATACATATATCTAAGTCTATTTACATAACATTTTACCATTAAACCATTGGCAATTTAAATAAGAAGACTAAAATATTTCTGTGATTTAAACATAGAAAATAAAAATTAATTTAACAAATTACATGGTCATTAATTTAACAAATTTCAAATGATGTTGTCTGTGTTTTTAAATTAAAAATTAAAAAAATTATCATTAATAGAAAGTAATTAATACTAAGCATCTTTGACCATAGAATTGACCTGCCATTTTTGAAAAATGTTAATTCTTATTATATATACTAGTGTGTAGTCCGTGCTATGCACGGGTAACAATATTAAATATTGATTATAAATAAGTGTCGAGTTTGAATCACCCAACGAAAGAAGTGGGGAACCATTATTGATCCTCTTTTAGAAGAGCAAGAAAAAATTATTATAAATTAAATATGATGGTAAACAATATTGAATAATAATTATAAATTAAAAATGTGAGGTTAACATGTGATATGATTTGCCCTAATCAGTATATTATACGCCATAAAAAATTAGCTTGTACAGGAGAACATAAAATTCAAAGTGGTAATAATATTTGAAAAAACTTTCTGTGCTATGTTCTTGATCACAAAGTAGTTCGGTTGTTGTCTCAAGACTTGGAGCCTGACCCACACCTTGCTGAACTGGTGATGAAGATAAAGGAGCTAGCAAAATGTCATTTAATCTGCTCCTTTCATTATGCTACTAACTTGTTTTAGATGTTGTTTTTTATCTTGTTTGGTTCTGTATTAGTATTGGTATGTTCATCCTTTTCTAGTTCTATTTTCCTAGTTTATTTTCGGATTAGGGGGTGTCGTTTGGGCATTCCCATAGGTTGGCCTTGATCTGTTTTTCAGGCTATGTCAATTTGTGGTCAGTTGATTGCTCGATAGTAAGAACCTTCTTTGAGTTTTTATTCAAGTTATTTGCCGGCTTAAAAAAAAAACAATATTTTAAAAAACATTAGGAATTGGATAGTGAAAATTAGCTTCTAGCTTATTTTAAAAAAAATCTTACCACAAATCAGGAATTTATATTACTAATTAAACATACAAAATGGATTTATATTAGTAATTAGACATTAGAGTGAATTAGTTTTTTTTTTTAAATTATTAGTTATTATTTTAAAAAATCAGTTACAATAGATAAGTGATCAGATTTTTCAAATTCACTCCGATGGATTCTGTAAGTTTATAATGGCATGCGATGGGATGATATTGACTTTTTAAACTTACAGGAATGATATTTTTTTAAGCTTGTCGAAACAATTTCCAGATTTATATATGAGATTCTGTAGGTTTATGATAGCATGCAATGGGATGATATTGACTTTTTAAACTTATCGAAATTTATGGAATGATGCCGAAACAATTTCCGCATTTTAAGGTCAATATTTAATGCTGCCAGTATTTAAGTTAAAAAAGAATTGCCATGAATGACATGTAATTAATGCTAGAGAGTTTGACTAAGATTTAACTTATTATTTTTAAAAAATGTTAATTCTTATTATATATGTATAGATATAGATATACATAATTAATTCGCAGATAGCATCAATGTTAAAAAAATAAATAGAAGTTGTTGGGCACTATTTGGCTATAACATGGGGTTTAGTGCTAATTAAGAACATCAATTCTTTCTGGACTTCATATATTTTTCGATAATGCATTGATACTGTAGCTCGATTTAAGACGCTCAGACATTTAGACATGACATCTTCACCTTGTTTTTGGCCAGCACAATTATATTTTTCGATGGCATTGTCTAGATCGATTTCTACAACACTTAGATACCATTAAAGCAATTCATTGCTATGCTTGTTCTATCATCCAATTCAATTCTTTTCACTCAGTGTTAATTAAGATTGGCACTTAGACCAATTGCATCTCCTAGGCATGTCCGATTCATTTTCACCGTTGACAAAATGATTCTTAGTCCATTGCCAATAAATGCATCTAACGATAATGATTTATTAAGTTAAGTGAACTTAATTAGTGGTAGATTGCCTAATAGATAGGCATCCAAACTCTTCTAATAAATATTTTAATACTCAAATGACATATATTAAAATATATTATAAATAAGAATGCTCTTTTTTTTTTTTNACAAGTATAAATCATAAATGTGTAATGTTTAAAAAGGTCCGTCTGACACAAATTTAAATGCACATAATAACCCGGACACATCCTATTCTCAGGTGAGATTTTCTGTGAATAGCATGATACGCATAATAAGCCAAGAACCATATCCTATACACTCAGTTTTTCTGTCTTATTCAGACTGGATGAATCAAAAGCTTACAAGAATAATCATTTTTAGTTACGATAATTTTTGTCGCTTTGTCGTCACAAAAAATACCGTCACAATAAGAGGTATTATTGTGACGACATTCGAACATATAGCGACAATATTAGGACATTATTAGTTACGGTATTTTTTCTGACGACATAGCGACAAAAATTATCGTCACTAAAAATGATTATTCTTGTACCGACCTCATGGGAGAGAATCCGTGACTGTGGATTTTGTTCAATTTCATCACACTATATATATTGCCCAAAAACACGATTGCAACCCAATGAAAGGATAGCAATATATGGGGTGGGGCGGGGGAAGTAAAGACATTAATTCTGTTTGAAAAGAAAAAAAGAAAGAAAGAAGGATATATAAAGTTGAACCATCATCTATGCCTCGTCCTCTTTAGTGGGCCTGTCCTTTGCAATGCGTGGGAGCAAGCCCTGGGCCCAATCCCAGGCATTGAGAACCAAGTAGCTTCCGATGCCAGCAATGAAGCCATAGGCGATGGAATACGTCAAGGGCATCAAGAGCATGGTGAGGAATGCGGGAATGGCCTCTCTCATATCCCCCCATTCCACTTCCCCCGTGGCCCTCATCATCATCACCCCCACTCCCACCAGCGGCGGCCCCACCGCCCACGCCGGTATCGACGCCAGCAGCGGCGTCACGAAAAGGGCCGCCCCGAAGTAGGCTGCAGCGGCCAGCGCCGTGAGCCCCGTGCGTCCCCCCTCCCTTATCCCCGTCGACGACTCTATGAAAGCCGTCACGGGCGACGTCCCCAGCAGCGACCCCACCACGATGGCCGACGCGTCAGCCATGAAAGCAAAGTACTGCCCCTCGAAATCTCCGTTGCCGTCCGTGAGTCCCGCGAAACTCGCCATCGAGCACAGTGTCCCCGTCGTGTCCAGTATGTCCACGTACAGAAACGTGGCCACCGCCTCCCAGAATCGCCGCCTCCCCACCCCCGCGAAGCTCAGCGCTCCCGCCGTGGTCTCGATCTCGTGCGCGTCCACTACTCTCTTGAAATATCGGTACGCGGCGTCCCCGGCCGGAGTCTGGGGGAACGCCGTCACGGAGGTGTTCCTGAACCAGGAGACGGCGGTGACGAAGACGATGCCGTATATGATGGCGCCCTTCACTTCTTTTACCAGACAGTAGGCTATGAGGACGAAGCCAGCGACGCCGAGCCAGAGGGTGGGGCTGCGCATCGTCCCGTGCAGGCAGAGGATGTTATCCGAGACACTGCCGCCGGGGATGAGGGAGACGGTGCCGTTGGGGAATGCAACGACGGGTGCCACGGCTGCACGCGCGGAGCTGGGGCAGCCGCCGAGGGTGACGTAAGTGGTGGGACTGTAGCCGATGAGGCCGATCCCCTCGCTGCTCTGCAGCCCGATGAAGGCCAGGAAGAGGCCGATCCCAGCTGAAGACGAGATGCGCACCGGCTTGGGCACCATCTTGGCCAGCTTGGCACGAAGGCCGACAACAGAGATGAGGAGGAAGATGAGGCCTTCCACAAAGACCACAGCGAGGGCCTCCCGGTAGGAGAGGTCGCCGGAGCCGTGGAAGCCGACCATGGTGTAGGCAAAGTAGGCGTTGGCGCCCATCCCGGGGGCAAGGGCGAGGGGGAGGTTGGCGAACACTCCCATGATCACGCAGCCGACTATGGAGGATGCGGCCGTGGCCACGATGAGGTCGCGTTTGGTGGTCTCGAGGCACGCGGCGTAGCCCGGGTTGACGGGAGGGAATTTGCAGGCGGGGGTGGGGGGGACGAGGGTGAGGTTGCTCGCGCGGCAGTCAGGGGCGGAGAGCAATGGGTCGGAGCATATGGGGGTGCAGTCGGAGATGGAGCAGGTGCCGCCGGAGTCGGAGAGGATGGAGGCGTTGACGGCAAGGATGTAGGCCATGGTGAGGAACGTGGCGGTGCCAGCACGGAGCTCTGTGGTGAAGGTGCTCTTGCGCTCGGTCAGCTTGAAGCGTCTCCCGATGCGGCTGGCAGCGACGTAGGAGTTGAGGCGGGTAATTGGGGTTGGTGGTGGTTGTGTAGAAGTGGACTCGATGTCCATTGTTGTGATTTTCGGGTGTGTGCGGATTTTATTTTATTTTATTTTTTTTGTTTTCTCTCTCTTATGGGGAAGGAAGGGATGTGTTTAACGAGGATAGATGGTGTTGCTTAGGCATTTTATATTGTGGTGGTTTTCATTTTTAATTTGATGCTCATTTCCCTACCTCAAAGCTATTGTTTTGTTACCTGAAAGCTACCATTAATCGTTCTTTGTTTTTCTAAATAAAAAAATCTTCTATAATCATATCCCACAATACAGAGTAGTTTTTTTTTCAAAGTCATTATTTGTTTTTCTAAATGGAAAATCTTCTATAATCATATCCCACGATACATAGTAGTTTTTTTTTTCAGAGTCATTCTTTGTTTTTCTAAATGAAAAATCTTCTATAATCATATACCACAATACATAGTAGTTTTTTATTTTTTTTTTCAAAGTCATTCTTTGTTTTTCTAATGGAAAATCTTCTATAATCATATCCCGCACAGAATGAAAATGAAGGGTGATCATTTCTCGATATTCGTTGGTCCAACATGCCCGGTGATCATCATCATCCATCCAGAAATAATTAATATATAAATCAAAGAACAACTGAAAAAAAAAGGTTGACTTATGACTAATATGTTACTTATTTTCTATGTTGACTACAGATATTCAATTTATTGACGAAATTTTGCTTCATCTACAAAAAATATCGCTTGGTTTTTGACCATTACAAATAACCTCGTGGACTTTATTCGGATTTATGGGTTTAAGATTTTCAAACTTTTAACATATCATTAGGAATTTGTGCTCGGCGACTAATAATTAGGATTTCGATAATTCTACGCGGCGGATTCAACTCGGCAGATATTGCATTTTGAGGTATTATGGGATACATATTACATACCTAATTAACAATTACTAGTACAGAGTCCGTGGGGCGCACAATTTTAAGGCTATTTATCGAGGCTTATAATTATATACATGAATACATAAAAATGTACAGGACATATATAGTACGTGACCCGTGCGAGGCACGGAATATATTTATTTGAGAAATATTATATTATAAGATGTAATATTCAATAAAAGTTTTATAATACGCAGGAAAATTGTACAATAAGATAGTATTTGTCAAAGAAACAATCATATATTATTAAAGACCTCTTTATACACAACATTATGAGTTTGATTATTGGGCAACTCGTTATTCTCACAAATCAGAACAGATTTTTCATACAATAATAATAAGATTTTTTGTAAAATGATAAGAATGAATTTTCAATCTACACAAACTTTAAACATTAGATGTATTTACGTAAATCAATAACTATATAGACAACTAAACCCTTCAATTTAGGCTTGACATCTGCTTTAATTATGGGTGACGTAGAATAAAGATTTAATTTTGACCGATTAAATCTTTATTTATAGGCTTGACATATAAAACCGAATTTATGGGATTTTTTTAACTAAACCGATGTTATGGGATAAAACAAATCTATACTTTCCAGCAAAGGTAAAAGAATCGATTCTGATTTTTATCCCATAACAAATCTTTAATGTCAAGCATATAAATACCAAAACAAATCTGCAATTAATGTCATTCTATTTCCAGCAAGCATTAATTACCTTTCGCTTTTTTCCCTACTATTTCTAGTAAATAGGATGACGTTTTATATAAGTATAGATTTTGTACTTATATTTTGCAATCTTCTCACGTATTTTTCGAATGACTGATGGTTGGATACGAAACAAAACAGGAGACACATGATTTGTTATTAAGAATAAATATTAGTTTGTTATTGATGATAAATAGTTAAATTAATTTTTTTTGATATTTTGAAAAATTAGGTTTATAATTTTTGAAAAACTGGAACGTTTGAGTTATTGATAAATCAAAGAATTCTAAATCAATCCTCTTCATTAAATGCGTTTTTGAAGATACGATAAAATATTTTGGTATATGGCTAGTTAACAAATGAATAAGAAATCACCGTGATTTGTTATTAGTGTTGATAAATAAGATTCAATTGTAACGTCATGATAAATATCATAATAAAATTTCCATAATTGCTTTTTTAATTTTTATTTTGTAATTATATTTGCAATCTTATCGTCCATATTCAAATAAGTTTTTTAAAAATCGAGGTATATTTAATAGACATTTTTCAAATAAGTATGTTTGATTCATATCTAAACAATATAGTATATTTTAGGAACTTGATGATTCGTAACATTACTGGCGTTATGTATATCTATATTATATTGTCATGTACAATACACGTAGCTATAAAGATTCCAAGAACATAGACATTTTTTAGATTTCTTTTCCAATAGTATCGATCTAACCATTAAAAATATAGAAACAACTATAGCTATTTTAAGTTTTGATTGATAAAGAAAAATATTATTTAAAAGAATTCAAACACATAATTAAAAAAGCAGTATTCTGATTTTAATAATTTATAATTCAACATCTTGATTTATGCAAAATTTATATAAAATAAGTTTTTTTTATGCCGAAATTGCGAGATATGTAGAATATTTTACATGGATGTGATATGTAGAATTCACATGTACTTTTGGATTCTTTTATGAGCTGAATGTTTTCTGTAGAATAGAAATCGAATAGGGAACAAATTCAGTGAGTTTTGTACTTTATATAAAAATATTATATTAATCAAATCACATTTTTATATACGACTCTTTGGATTAGGTAACAAAAATCTTGCAAGTTTAAATTTTTTTTTGCATCAAATCCGTTGATTTTGGATTATCATTATGTAATCTATTCGTTGATTTTGGATTATCATTATGTAATCTATTCGTTTGGCATGGAACTCTTTTATACATGACTTTTTTTTATATTTTATGAGTATATCTGTCCATCAAAATAGGATATAAATTACAGTGATTTTTTTTAAATGTGTTTCGATTTATGCGTATATCTGCCAAGAAAAATCTCTAAACTAATAATACAAATAATTTCCAAATAAAAAATGAAATGGCAGATTCCTTTACAAACAAAACTTTTAAATGTTAGTGTTATTTTTCCAAAAGTCTCTCAAATATAAATGAGATGAAATTTCCAAAACAAACTCTTAAAACACGTAAACAGTACTATTCATTTTAAATGAATTAAAATTTCCAAAACAGATTACTTAACACACGGGAACAGTGCAAGTCAATTTAAAAATGAGAAGTGGATTTTTTTGCTGCATCTCAACACGAATCTTTATATCATAAATAATAAAAAAATTCACGTGTCTCTATAAACGCGTGAACAAAAATTGGAATGACAATTTTTATGCTAAAATTAGTAAGTCACATGGTTGACTCATTGTTTTTTAAAAGTTTTCTTAAATGATTTATTGACCTCTCTTTTTTAATATATATAGATTATTATTATTATTATTATTATTATTATTATTATTATTAAACATTTTGATCATCAAGTACAAATGGGAATAAAAAAGAGAAAATTACATGGTGCACCACAATAACATTTATATTACATATGTACAACCCGTATATAAAATTTAGCAAAATAACTAAAACTAACATATTTATTTTCATCCTATTATAATACCCGTGTACTACACGGGTACTTAAATATACTAATATTTGTAAAATAAAATATTAAAATTATTTATATTTTTATTGTAAAATTATGTATAATGAATATACAACAATAATAAAAAATTAACAAAGTTATAATTAATTCAATATGGCGCTCGTATTTTTACACTAAATTTGTCAAAAATGATATTTTTTAATTATATTTTTAAAATTATACATGTCCAAAACATATATTAATTAGAACTCATATATTTGACTTGAATTTTTTTAAAAGAAAATTAGTTTTATTGTATTTTGATTATATTTTATATTTGTAGTGTTGGTGTCTCTCGTTTATGATTTTTCAAGCTTTTTAAATTTATAGAGTCGATGTCTCTCGTTAATTTACACATAAATTGTATTATTTTATAAATTTAAGAGACATAAAATTATTTTATTATATTTAATATGATATCCTTTATGTGTTTTATTTTAAAAAAATAATAGTATTTAGTTCCTTATATAATATATTTAAATCGTGAAATAATTGTTGATAAACGGATTAAATCAACGTAATTAAGATAAAAAAAACAACGAGAATTGCAGAGAATATGATTTTTCTTGGATTCTTTGAGGTTGGTTACAATTTCGATTAAGTCGGTATTTTGATACAGGTGGTCGGAAACAGAGAAAACCGTGGTAATAAATGAGTGAATTTTATGCGTCCAAAAGAACCCTCGTACTGTCTTTATTACTACTATTTATAGTTATGTTCGGCACACCTCCCAAGATAAATCAGCTTTATTTAATGTGGATTTGACGGCTTAGGGGCGGCTATGACGTTGGCATGCTTTTTAGACAATGATGAGCATGGGCGCTCCTCTATTTGTGTGACAAGCGTCACTTCTGTCGGGCTGAAGTCGGTTTCTCCACGACATCGGCTTTTTTATGGACTTTTAGTTTTCTATGACCTTCAACAGACTATTCTTGAACCGAGTTCCTAATATCGAGGTATTAGTGTTCTGTATCGATGATCTTTAGGGCCACTATCTGTCTTGGAAAATGAGGTGGCCATCCCGAGATGCTGAGCCGACGCCGAGTTTGATGCCAAAGAACTATTTTGCGATTCGATCTTCATGATGCCTTTTATCTATCCTTTATCTTTATAGTTTTTTTTTTTTTATTCTGATATCAACAATATTCATGTTTAAACATCTATTAGATATGGGTTNTTTTTTTTATTTTTTATATTCTGATATCAACATAGAGGCCCCTGGCATTAAGGAGTACATGAATGAGCGTGCTCTTTGATGACATCCTTTCCTCAACCGACCTCCATTTCTGAATTCGTTTTCATCTCATTTATGAGCAAGCCGAGGTAATTTCCTTAAACAAGAATCACATACTTGCTCCCTTGACAAATTTAAGTAAGACCAGAAGACGGTTACAGAGCAGTTTCTAGAGGTTACAAACGTGTCTTCCCCACTACTCTTCTGAAACGGCACGTATCATAAGTTACAGATATAATTTCGGCAGTTTTCAGGACACGTGTACGTACGAGATTACACTTCGAATATTTATGTCAGAATTAAGGCAATTTTTCCCCAACGACGCGACGGTTTCACGCGCCTCTCCATCTCCAACGGTTAGAAAATAACGTACATATATATGTGTCATCCAGTCTCCATTCATGAAATCTTCATTTAAGCAACTTTTCAATCTTTTCGATTCTTCAATTGTTTCTCTCATTTTCCTACTGTTCGTCATTCGTACTTCGACAAACTGTGATATTCCTTAAGAACTCACTTCGATTTTCAGTAAGCCCTAATTTTCTCTTTTCATTTCTTAATTTCTTTTCGCCGCTTTTTCTGGTCGTGATTATGGCGGTGAGTGGTGAGCAAGTGGAGCCAAGTAGCAGCCGAACTGTGTCAGATATGGAATTAGATGAGG